ATGCTCAGCCTTCATTTGGGGTTCAGTAATTCCTCTCGGTTACATTGCCCTTGATCAATCCCTACCAGGCCTCCCATACCCTCCTTGCCATTGGTTTTGAATCACTTGTTGTTCCCAACATCTGGGGTCTTAAAGGCTTGAAGTTAACCAAGTGACCATTTAGCAGGGAAGCAACAAAACCCACATGGAAGAAGCACACCAGCTGGTGTGATCATGAGGTATTGACGGGATCAGGTATCATGCATCAGAAGATCCAAAACAATCAATTATATTGATGCAAATGATGGGGGTTGGAGTGGAGACTCAAAGCCCATCTATAGGCAATTGGGCACCCCCTCACAGAAGGCTCACAAAAGAGGAATGAGTCAGCCAGGGTGCAGCATAGCACCAACAAAACACAATATTCCTCTAGTTCTTTAATTCTGCCCCCCACTATCATGACCCCAGGTCTACCTTACAAATTCAGACAGATAAAAGCTCTCAAAACATGGAATCCAGGATAGATGAACCCCTCAGGAACAATAATAGGAGTAATGATACCATGAGGGTAGGGGGGAGAAATGGGGAACCCATCACAGTGGTTGATGTATAACTGCCCCCACCCCAGGAGTATGAACAAGAGGAACAGTGGATGGTGTAAGATATGAAAATAATAATAACTTGCAATTTATCAAGGGGTCTTGAGGGTGGGAGGGTGGGGGAGGGAGAGAAAAAAGAGTAGCTGATACCAAGGGCTCAAGTGGAAAGAGAATGTTTTGAAACTGATGATGACAACATATGTACAAATGTGTTTGATACAATTGATGTATGGATTTTTGTAAGAGCTGTAAGAGCCACCAATAAAAGGATTTTATTTCAAAAAAGGAAAAGCAGTTTTGAGATATAATTAACCTAGCTTACACGTCTATAGACGTATTAAGAAGCGTTGTGTAAACATCACTACAGTCAGTTCTAGAACATTTTCTCCCTTCTTGTTTTCATGATTTGCTCCCCATTTCCCTCCCACCTCTGACCTCTTCCTCATATCCCCAATAAGCCATTACAATAGTCACTGTCCCTATAATTTGCCTATCCTTGACTGCATATTCTCTCTCTATCTCTATCTATATCTATATATATGCCTAACAACAATAGTAAAATAAACAAAATAAATCAGAGGAAAAATGAAATAAGCAGGGAATATTAAAAACTAGAACATATTTAAAATGGGTCAAAACAGAGATCAAATGACCAGGTATTATATTTTAACCTAATTACATCTGCCATAATCAAGTTTACAATACTCTTTGTCTGCTAACAAGGTTATTCACACCCCTCGACTATGGTCAGAGGGGATTCACCAGAGACTTCATCCATGTGGGGATCCTGCAAATGGATTTTGGGCTCCCACTGTCATCCATAGCCTTCTGCAAATTGGATGTTCACAAGTTAAGTTCCGATACCACTCCCTCCTTCACATTTGGATTTTATTATTTATCATCCTTGGATCACACAGGCTGCCATGGTAGTTTCACTTACCTCAAATGCATGTGAAAACTGGACAATGAATAAGGAAGATTGGGGATGAACTGATGAACTGTGATGTTGGAGAAGACTACTGAATGTATCGTGGGCTGCCAGAAGGATGAACAGATCTGTCTTGGAAGAAGTACAGCCTACATGCTCCTTGGAAGTGAAGATGGTGAGCTTTCATCACATGTACTTTGGACATGTTATCAGGCGGGACTAGCCCTTGAGGAAGGACATTGTGCTTGGTAAAGTAGTCTGAAAAAAAAGGGGAAGCCCCTCAAGGAGATGAATTGACCCAGTGATTGTCACAATGCCTTTCAATACAGCCATGTTCGTGAGGACGATGCAGGACCTGGCAGTGTTCTGTTCTATTGTACACACAGTCACCACGAGTTGAAGCCCACCAGATGCAGCTTAACAACATCAACAAGAACAAGAGATACTGCTGGGTGTCTTGCCGATATCCCCTTGGCGTTTCACCATGCCCACCAATCCTTAACTCTGCTCGGGCCACTGCCACTTAGAAATGCATACAACTTTCTGGGGGCTTCCTGTGGAAGCGGAACGCAGCAGTGGTTTCTAGGAGGTAATGCCTTCCAGAAGCAGTCCTCCTTCAAAGACAGGTGGGAATTGGTGGGTGAATATCTCAACTTCTCCTTCTTCAGGTGGACTGACTCTGAGGCTCACTGTACAAGGTCTCCCCAAATTCCCCAGAGGGATGGTGCTCTAGATGCCCTCTCTAGTAATGTGCTTGATCCATGGTCTTTTCCGGGCTTCCTTCCTTTTCTGGTGTCCCATCGCATCTCCACTCCCTCCTGATATTTTGTACAGTCACCTAGAAAGAACGTTTTGCACTAGAATCTTTGTCTTAACGCTTGCATTGGAGGAACCCAACGGAAGGGATTGTGATGATGTCATTGAGTTGAGTTTGCTTCACAGTGGCCTTAAAGGACAGGTTTGAACTACCCCATATGGTTTCCTCGACTGTAACCTTCTAGGGGCCACAGAGGGGATTCCAGAACACGGCATTGTGCTCAGGTGGGACCGGTACACAGGTTGAGAGGCAGTTGTTTGAACAGACCATGAAAGATGTATGTCAGAGTGGCATGGATTGCCCCTACTGACGCAGTCTGTGTGCGAGACACATAATCTGGGAAGCTGGACTATGGGAAGAAGGAGGTATGCGGATCGGAGGAAGGCTCATTGAGAACCTGTGACATGCATATGGTACGACCTGGTTTACTGGACGTGGACGAGGACTTGAAGGAGCTTTCAGTATGGAATACACCTCGGTGTCAAGAGAACAAGAATCCTCATAAGTGAGCCACAGACAACATCCTGATAGGTGGAAAAAAGATGGACGTCATCAAAGATTTCATTTCACTTGGATTCGTCAGGAAGTCTTCTGGAAACAGCAGACAATCCACCAAATGCCACATAGCATTGGGCAAATCTGCTGTTTGTGATCTCTTTAACATGCTACAGAGCTTAAGTCATCTCAGGCATGAGAGGCTGCACCATGAGAAGGAAGACCACAGAGGCATCGATGTGTTTGGATGAGCTGCCAGCAGAAGAAAACAGAACAGGGTTGGGGGTAGAGTTAGAATGCTCCTTAGAGGCAGGGATGACAAGACTTGGTCTCATAGACTGTGGACAGGTTCCAAGGAGAGTCCAATGCCTAGAAAGAGACACCATGTTTGGCAAAGAACAAGGTCAGTCCAAAGGAGGGAGACTTTCACTGAGATGGCTGCACAGCAACGGTGAGACCGCTGCAGGAGCAAGGAGCGTTTCCTTCTGCCATCCATGGGCTCACCGTGAGTCAGAGCAACCTTGATGGCACCTCGTAACCAGGACCACCTTTATGTGAGAAGACCACCCGGCCTTTCCTCCATAAAACTGCCGGTGGGTTCCGACCCGTATTCTTCTGGTGAGCCATTGAGCCCATTGCACTGCTCACCAGGGCTCCTCAGCCACCGGGCTGATGTGAATAGGGCTATAACCTACGAGGGGTGAAAATAGCCTTCCATTTTCCATTGCAAGACTTCTGGGTAACCGTTGTAGCGCATATGCTCCAAAGGGTCGGGCCCTTGCATTTCTAGGGCAATGGAGAAGATGATGGTGTGTCTGATGGATTCCGTACCTTAGATCTGTCTTGTTCCCCAACACTCCCAACTCTCCCCAGAACCGATTGCAGACTTCCCAGCCCCTTCACGACATCTCAAAGTGTCAACCCAAATCCTGGAAATACCTCAGTTGGTGCCCTCCTGAAAGATCAGAAACAAACACCCCCTAGCCTGGATTTTTTTTTCACTTGTTTTATTAGCATCAATATACACAAAGTGGAAAATGACTTTGTTCATTATTCTAGCTTAGAAAGTTTGGTTTGCTTTTCATTGTGTGGGGGGATCAAATGAAAAGGAAAATCTCCCAGGAGAAAGCCTAGCCTTGGGAGTGCCGAACACCTCGGATAACCTTCCCCACCATGCCTACCCACGGGCCTAGGGCAGCCATGCCCTTGAAATTACCCAAGGAAAGGTCATGTTGGCCCAAGACGCCTACTCTTGCCTTAGACTTCCCAGCGCCTAAAATTTGTGGCGCGCTTCCTCTCCGGAAGCTCTGCCCCTCCCCGGTGGTGGAGTAGCTGGGATGCCTACGGACCAGTTCCACAACTCTCAGCCGGTAGCTTTTCCCAGGAGCTGCCGTCTTCGTCAAACGTCAGACACAACCATGTCTCTGGAATTAACATGGACGGTATCAGACAACAACCAGAATATTTATATTGACTAAACGATTTTACTGAAAGGAAGACAAAACAAAAAGGGGTGGGTGGGGGGGTAGAAGCTAAAGGCTGAGCTCCAAGCTGAAGAGGGCCAAGTGTGTGCATTTTGTCAAGACAGGGCAGTAGCTGACAGGTCCAGCTTAGCTGTATCAGCATGTAAGACAGGCGATACCACATGCATTCTTCGAAGCTCGTGGGCTCTGTAAATGTTCCCCGCCGCACAACTGTTTTTCTTCTTTTTGTAAAAAACAACGCAGAGAGTGGCTTGTAGGAAGTTTCAGTCCATTGTTGAGTTTTTCAAGAGTATCAGTCTGTTCAAAAATATTTCATCCCAATTTTTTTTTTTTCCATCTTGATCTTATAAAAACTGACAGAGGAATGGAAATGAGATGCCGGGTACATCACGGGGATTGGTTTTTGGCACTATTACTTTTTTGTCACCTCTATGTATTACAAATACACACTGGGATATTTCCAACAGAAAAATAGATACCCACCACACTGTGCATAGGTGACCCCACATGAACCATCTCTAGGCTAAAAGAAACTGTGATGACGTTGCCATGGTGACAGGGGGCTGCACTTCAAAGAGAACTAAAACAGTGGAATCCAGAGGGGATGAAAACCATCAACATCTTTTCTATTTTTCTAAGAAGAATGCGTGGGCCACGGCCTCGCAGGTCTCAGGGAGTAGAGTTAGAAGAAAGCATTTCTATGTTGTCCTGGCTCAGTCTTCGTCCGACAGACTCTGTTCTGAAATCCAATGCAGTGAGATGTTCCTTCTGGGGGACCCAGGGTTAGGGTGAGGAGGTACAGGGGGTGGAAACAGGAGGCCAGCCAGAATCGGATTCTACCCCTTCAACAACGACGTTATGTGATTTGCTTTGTTGGTCTTTCTCCAAACCTGGCCTCTGGCTCAACTATGTGACGGATCTGGGATAGTTCTCCTCTGGTCCTTTCACCAAACGGGGTGAGCTTTAGGGATGACTTCTTGCCATGTGCCTTGAACGTATACCCCGAGAAGGAACATGCACACAGATGAGATTTAGAGTCCAAAGATGGAGATCCAAGCTCTGATGGGCACAGTGTGTGTAGCCCACTGCCCTATCTTGCTCACAAAGGTATTTCAGACAGCTGCCCAGTGCGGACTCCCAGTCACTCTCCCAATGGGATGGCAGATCAAAAGGGTTTTCCTTGCTTCAAAGCAATCAGAGGGTGAGTGGGCCACTGAGCTGGTGTACTCTCTGAGCCAATACCTAACCACGTGTGGTCCTAGGGAGTGAATCCACCTCCCATTGCTTGTCCCTCCTGGCACTTATACACCAGCCTCCTCTTTATACTTGTAGGAAAGCATCTACCATAGGGTCACACACTCACTGGCCCTCTGGGTAGGGTGAAAACCCAAACTCACTGCCACAGAGTCAATGCTGACTCATTGCGACCCTATAGGAGAGGGAAGAACTGCCCCTGTGGGTTTCTGGGACTGTTTAGAAAGGACCCTGGTAAAACCAGAAGGGTACCCATGGCATTAGACGTGGTGCTGGGGGTGTCCTGCTCACCGGCAGTCCTCCCTGGACTTCTCTGAAGGCTTTGGGTGTATGGAGGACTCTTCTCTCTAGTCTCCTGGGGCCCTAACTCCTGGCTCCTGCGCTGTGCACTCTGATGCCTTCCAACATCTGGACAGGGTCTCAGGGCATGGAAAAGTCATTTCCTCCGAGACCCCTCCCTCCCCTCAGCATGGGATTGGAAGTTCGTTCTGAAGGTGGGACTGTCTGGAGACTCGCACACATGGGTCTGCTCCACACAGAAGGTGAAGGTGTTCCAACATCCCAGCAGAAGAGCAGGGCTCCCCTCTGAGTCCCAGAAGGTGGTATCCCAAACACACGTGCAGTGTCAATGTCCCGCTTTTTCATCATCCAAGGCATGTCAAAAAAGGGGAAGATTTTATGAGCTGACCTCCCTCGCCCAACTCCACCCCTACCCAATGTTTCATCCCTCCTCCTGCCAGATAACTTTCCTGGGTCACGCACCACCTTTCTAGAAAGGAAACACTGCCTTCCCATGCCAGAGTCCAGCGAGGTCAGGCGGTACAAGGGAGTGTCCATTGAACACGGACGCTGGGTGTCTTCAGAAGGTCTATAGGATGGAGGGGAGGTGGGCGACAAGACCTCCTAGCAGCTGGTCCCTTTGTAGGCGAGGACACAGAACTTTGGGGCAGACCTGTTTGAGTAGCCATGTTACCTTCCAATCCAAGTTAAACCAACAAGAACTACCCTTTCCAACCCTGAAGAAAACCAGCCCCACTGCTGGGCATGAGAGTACAACTGTGCTCCATAATGCTTTTTTTTTTTTGGGGGGTGGGGGGTGGGAATGGGAGGAGGGAAGTAGATCGGCAGGCCTTTCTTCGGAAGCATCTCTAGATGGTGTCAACCCCCCCAACCTCCTGGCTAGCAGGTGAGCATGTTAAGGATCTGCACCACCCAGAAGTCCCTGATTTGGAATTTGGGTTCGGACTGAAAACACCAGGGCCACGCCCCCACAGATGCATGCAACAGGATGCAGCCTCCACCCCCACCGGCTGCTGCAGGCACACCATCTGGCTTCCCCGCTGCTGCCACCATCCCGGGGTTTTGTTGTCTTGTAGAATCTTCCAACGTCCTTTAGAGCCGAAGCCACAACAGGACCCTGGCGGCTGCAGCCCCTGCGTACATCCAACCGACCGCAGCAGTTTAAATAGAATAAATACGGGGAAGGAAACAGGAAGTCTCTGAGAAAAAGTCAACAGAAAAGACAGCTGATGCTGGAGGGGTTCAACTGGATGCCGCATGGTCTCGGATGGGTCTCTGGAGGGAGGGGGGGCTGAGTCCGCCGGGTGAGTTCCCTTCCAGTGCAGCCCCCTAGATGGAGACTTCGTACTCTCTGGTCTCCTGTGAGGGCGAGAAGCGCAGATTCAGTGGACCCGGGAGGGGTGGGCGAGGGAGTGCCTGTCAATCTGAGGGAGCTGGCTGAGGGACCCCCTCCTTGGGCCACCCTCCTAACAGAGAGCATCTACAAGGAAAGGGCCTGTTTCCCCCAACAGGGGGAAGTTCAGGGCTGAGGGCTTCAATAGACCATTGAGGGGGTCACCCTTATGCTCCTAAAAGGGCAATGGCACAGCAGGGGACTGAGGCTTGTGCCATGCACGTCTGCTGTGACCCTGAGCAGCACACACTCTGCCAACCTCTCATCTCAGGATGAGGAGGAAGGATTTGGGAAGCAGAGCTGAGCCCTCCAGCCAACAACCAGCCAGTCCAGGGGATCAAGGCTCAAATCAGGAGCATCACCCTGTTGTGATGAGTTACAGAGGCCACCGATAGGCCGGAGAGCAAATCCATGTTTGTTGTTGTTAGCTAGTTGGGTAACTAATACACCCATTGACACCTATGAATCAAGTCAAATCTAGAACCTGTGTGTCCGTTTGTTGTGCTGGGGTGGCTCACGTGTGGCGGCCGCGCTGGAAGTTATAGCACCGGCATTTCAAGTAGCATCAGGGTCACTTTGGAGGACTAGGGTGCTCCTGGCCCCAAACCGTGGTCTTTTCAATCACCTCATCTGCATGCGAAAGCTGGACACTGACTAAGGGAGGCTGTAGAAGACTCGGTGCTTCGGTGCTTCGGTGAAGAATGCTAAATCCACCAGCCAGGCTGCGGCTCAGAAGTGAGAGGGCGAGACTTGGGATACCTTTTCAGAGGAGCCAGTCCCCAGAGGAGGACATTGTACTCAAAGGGCCACTGAGAAAGAGGCAGACGCCCAACCCGAGGCTGTGACAACGGGCTCAAACCTCGTGATGATGGTGAGTTGGATGGAGGGTCAGGGGGTGGCCCATTCTGCTGTGCGCGGTGTTGGTGGCACGCAACAACTACGTAGTGCTGCCTAGTGTGACTAGCCATCTCTTCTGAGGATGGAAGCTCCTTAGTGGCAGGGACCATATCTCGCTGCTTCACAACTGTGCTTCCTGGTGCCCGGGTCAGGCCCCGCCACCCCAACATGTAGCCGCAGTGTCCACTGCCACTGCACTGGGCTGTGGGGGATGACCACACTCAGCCACCAGGCCGTCACTGGGCCCCGACCCTTCTCTGTCATGACCCCGTGGGCCTCTGGAGCTGCCCCTTCTTCCAAGGACCTTGCGACCGGAGGAATGGTCAGCTCAGAGATTTCGGGGAGATGGCCTCCTCCTGGTGAGCACCAAGAGCGCTGACTTTGCAGCGGATCTGGGGAGAGGAAGTGGCCACTCACCCCGGTCTCGTAAATGGGGTTGTCAAACTCCGTTTCCACGGTGATCTGGCTGTAGGGGTGCGCGTACATCAGGGGCAGGCGGAGGTTGGAATAGTACCGACATCTGCAGGGGAGAGGAGAAGGGAAGAGCCAGTGCTTGAGTTACCATACGGACGCCAGCAGCAGCTCTGCCAGCACCGACCCATCTGCTGCAGCCTGGGTGACTGGGCAGGTTATGTGTTGGACTGGTAACTGCAAGGGCAGCAGTTCAAACCCACCAGCTGGCCCGTGTGAGTAAGATGAGGCTGTCTGTTTCCGTAAAGAGTGACAGTCTCAGCAACCCACAGGGACCGTTCTGCCCTCTCCTATGGGGTCGTATGAGTTGGCGTGGACTCAATGGCAGTGGGATTTAAGGGGTCGTCTTCCTTAAGGATGATGAGAGTGGGACAACCTTCTGCCGGTGAGGGATACCAAGGGGAATGGCAGAAACCTAATTTCCTCTCACGGCTCACCCTACCATTGGTGACTCACCCTGGGCCTTTCACCTCAGGGAGAGAGGGTGGGCCTTTGTTCCTTGTTCACCTGGAAGGGGTCGCAAATCCCACTTTAGTGCAGCAACAATAAACACCTGAAACTCACTGCCCTTGTCCTGACTCACAGCGACGATAGAGGACAGAGTAGAACTGCCCTTCTGCTTTTTAAGGCTGTCAGTCTTCACGGGAGCGGACTGCCTCGGCTTTCTCTTGTATACACCCAAACCAAATCAAATCCCCCAACGCACCGCCATCCAGTTCATTCGGACTCATAGCACCCCTGAGGGGCAGGGCGGAACTACCCCTGTGGGTTTCCAAGCTTTACCTCTGCATGGGAGTAGAAAGCCTCATCCTTCTCCCAAAGAGTGGCTAGTGGTTTCAAATGTCTGACCTTGTGGTTGCCACCCAATGCGTAACCACCACTCCAGGGCTCCTTGTCACTTGTATAATGAGCGTTTATTAGACACCTACTAACCCCAAAGTTGGCAGTTCAAAACCACCAGCCACTTTTCAGGAGAAAGACGAGGCTTTCTACTCCTGTAAAGAGTTACAGTCTCAGAAGGCCAACGAGGCAGTTCTACCCTGTCCTGTAAGGTCACTGTGAGCGACACACTGTCCTCACCCTTGCTTGTAGGATGCTGTGATTCAGCTTCCTTCCCAGGAGCAGAAAGCTTCGTCTTCCTCCCACAGAGCCTCTGGTGGGCTCAAACTATTGACCTTGTGGTTGGCAGCCCCACATGTAACTCACTGTGTGCCAGGGCTCCTGACGAGGCATGGAAAAAGTCAGTGCCACGGAGTCCACACTGACTCCTCGTGCCCACAGTGCAGCCGGTCCCACCCCATCGCCTCTTCCTGCGGGTCAAG